TCAGAGTTGGAACAGATTAAGTTACAAGTTAATTATGAACCTTGGAGCACACCTAACCAGAATCAAACTCTCTCCCCCGAGAGAGAGTCCATTTTGACCCATTATTTATGCGGAAAAGCCCGCATTCAGCTTTGCCTGAACTACGAGTATTTGCATTGAACAACATCTGAAAGCGGCACTCAAACTGCGAGCAATATCAAATAAGGCAATATCAAATATTTGGAGGCCTCCGCATCCGCACGCACTTAAGTGCCACAGAAACGACACTCACACAGACAGCCAGGGCTCTGCTGTGCATCGAGTAGTTGCGGCCCGTAGATGGCCGTAGATCCCCGGACTGAGGCATCTTAATACAATTAAAAATCCACCAATTTTGCCCCAAACTATAGTCCTCGTTGACGTTGCTTGAGTGCTGCCTGAGGTTACGTGGGCGTCGGGTCGGGTCGGGCCGGGTCGGTCTCGAGGCTCTTGTTGATGTTGTGGCTGCTGCTGGCAGGAGTCCAGAGGAGGAACACCACCACCACCACCACCACCTGATGCCCTGATGCCATTAGGCGTAAGTGGCATTTTCCTTTTGATTTTGGTGGCATTTGACTTTATTAACCGAAACTACTCTGATGTTGATGCTGATGCTGAGGTCTAGGCTTCTCTGGACACCTGTCCGCCATCTCCAGTGCGACGGTAGTGGGTAGTGGGAGTGCGAGTACGATGGGTATTGTCTGTCTGGTGGCATCGAAATGGGTCAATATGTGTGCGCGGGTGGTCGGGTGGTGGGCTCATGTAATATGTATTCGTCCAGACCGTGCGCCCTTGGGCCCTCCAGCCGCAGTCGAGTGACATCTTCGGAGACCTCAGAGCTTGTGTATATGTTTGCATTTGGTTTATGCACGCGACGCCTTCATCTGGAGCCCCCGCTAACCTTTGTACGGGCTTCAACGGCTCCACTGCTGGCCCTGACACAGGAGGACACAGGCCGTAGCTGGGAGCACTTGAAGTCTCCATTTAATTCTCCCGGCGCTGCTCAATCATTCATTTCGCCTTTGTTTATTTATTTTGCTAATGGAATTATTTCCTACAGCACTTGTCTTCTTCCATCCTCGGTTCTTGGGGGCTTGGCTTTGGATTGTCTGGAGTGCAGAGTCCAGAGTCCAGAGTCCGGAGTCCTGATTCGCTCCACTTCACCAGTCGCTCGTCATCTGCAGCAGGTCTCTGTTCTGTTCTGTTCTGTTCCGTGCTGTGTTGTTTGTGTCATCTTTTCATATTTGTTCAACGTGTGCTCCCTGTCTCTGCCCCTGTCCCTGTCCCAGTCGCTGTCCCTGTCCCTGTACCTGGACACATTTCTTTCGCTTATTGGACGTGTCCTTTGTTCTCCATAAGTTTTATTTGTCGATTCTCACGAATACAGTTCCAATTTGTAGCGTTCGTTGCTTTTTGTCTAATTGATTCTGCTGGTAATTGGCGTTTTTTTTTGTTTGGTTCCTGCTTGTATTAGCAAACACTTCTTGATTGGCTTGATTGTTGGGTAAGGAAGGGGAAGGATAGCGAGAGAGAGAGAGACACCTCAATACACGTATGATGGCGCAGCTGCTGCTGCCCGCCAGCTTTGACAATGCTCCATCAGCGGGCACATCATTTGCAAGCTGCGATTGTCGCCTTTTCAATGTGTCAGGATCAGGCAGGCAGTAGGGAAAGCCAAAACCATCATCACCTGCCTTCACTGCCAGAGCACTGCCGTGCCCGTGGCATTGTCAGCTGTAAATCATGTGACACATATTAAAATTACAATGAAGCCAGCACAAAGGCCCCCTTCGATCGTGTGTGTTTGTGTGCGTGTGGAGGCGTTGCCAGCGGCAAGTATTGAGCATGCTGGCAGCTTGGGGAACTATTGACAGAAGAGAGGTGTGGGTAGACCCAGGACCCAGAGAACCTTGGGAGATGGAATTGTAATTTTGGCTTTGAATGTGCGCCAGAAGGGGTTTCATTCACCGCCTGGTTTGGCATTCCTTCGACTTAATTCGGTTCCTTTCTTTTCCCTTGGCTTTCATTCATACACGAGTATACCAGTCAACTACACCTGCGTCCTGCGTGCTGTGTCCTGTATCCTGGCACGCCTTATGCCATGTACTGGCACTGCCTCTCGGACCGCTTCACTGCGCAAATACACTTAATACAATTTATTATTGTAACATAATAAAAGCACAGAGAAAGCTGAAGGACCAAGGGCCAGGGCCCCAGTCAGCATCGGCATCAGAGCGAGAGCCAGGGACCTGTCCCGGGCCTTGGAAATCTCATAAAAAGGAGTTAAATCAGAGGAATTGTCATTGAAGCGAAATTGAAAGTAAATTCGTTCGCATACGTCCTTCATCTTTTATTTTATTTGTCCGCCTCCTTGTGCTTTATTGCTGCACTGCGATGTGCCGGTGCCGATGCCGTTGCCGTTGTCGGGCTCCTTGCCTGCCCCTCCATCCACAAGTATGTAAATCAATTTAACGTGGAATTTTCTTTTCAACTTTCGCCCGACTTCGTTCTCGATTGGAGGGCTCACTCGTGGCACGTACTTGCTGCAGTTGCTGAGGCCTGTGCTGAGATGGACTTGATATTGATTAACATGTAACGGGTTACCCTGTGGATTAGGTCTCCCATGAGCGAGCAGTCATTCAGATAAATTCATTGACACTATTGAAGAATTACAAAAAAAATTTGAATAATTTTAGATGCTTTTAAAAATTCTGCTGCTGCTACTCCTCGTTGGGGCAAATCATGGTCTTTGGACGCCGAACTACAACGATGGCGACTGCACGACAATTGAAAAAATCCGTCTGATGCGCACCTGCAAGGCGACCGTCTCGAAGAGAATTGCCAATCTTTATGGGGACGTGAGAGCGCCATCGGGCACTCCATATAGCCTGTGGATCGTGCCAAATTCGACTGACATGATCCTTGCCTCCTTCCACAATTCGCCAATGCACACACGCAAATACATCGAGATCGTTAAATATCAAATCGATGTCGATTTGAAACACTCGGATATGCACTGCTTGGCCAATCCAAACTCCTACAACAGCCACCTATTGGCCCATTGCAAGCGACAGAAGTTCTACGTGGAGGATATTTGCCTCAAGCCAGTACTCCACTACACCAGGCAGGGCCCGGACAGGGAAGATGCAGATTCAGCATTCCGTTTCCGTGGAGATTTGCTGACGCCGCTGCTGCTAACGCTTCTGCTTCTCATCCGAGTGTGGCATTAACAATTGATGCGTCAGATATGTGGCAGGGAGTCTGTCTCCATCAATGGTTGAGCAGTTTATTGGATTATCAAAATTACTACGATGTTTGTGCAAAATTCTCTGTTCTTTTCCCAAGATTTCTCTTCGAGGGAGGCTTCGGACAGCCCGTGTATCCCCCACAGTTACAGTGTTGACAAATGGGAGAGGGGACTGCCGCTGATCAGTCCCAGTCGAGTGTCGAGTGGATGGGGCTCCATCTAAAAGTATTTGCTGTAAACGATTCAGATTGATTAAAAATTTCAAATTGATGAGTAATGAACGAAACGAAACGAAACGAGTGAAACGGAAACTTTTGCGGTCTATCGGTTTTATTCATTAGCCGAGCTGGCTTATTCCATTTGTCTTTGCACGTCCAATTGGGACGTGAAAGTAATCAAAGTCGGGGAGGTCCAGCTGCGGTCTGGAGCATCCCCTCGCTGGCATCGCTTAACACGGCGTATACGTAACATTACATTTGAAAGAGATTAAATGCTTGAAATGCTCTCCCCCCTCCCCGTCCCCTTCACCCCCCTACCCACGCCCTCGGCTTTTCTTTGTGCGTATGTGCTTGGAAAATGGAATTCATTGGAAAACCTTGCAAGAATTTTTAATTACTTTGATTAATTTGAAACAAGTTTTCCCGTCGTCGTAGTCCTCGCTAGCTGGCAAAAGTTTCACCGAAAACTTGCGCCAAAAGTTTCCTCTGGTCGGGTCGGGTCGGGCCGGGCGGAGTCAAAAAGGGACAAAACTCATTCACCCGTTTGGTTTATTTGTTGAATATTGATTTGTATGAATGCTGATGAAAACGAAAACTTTGCCCTGGGGCAATCGCCCGCCCCCTCAGATGTTTTTCCATCATTTGTGATCCGCCTCTGATCGATGGGACTGGCCTTGAAGATGCTGTCAGGCAGAGTTGTTGTTGTTGTTGTGTGTTAATTCCGTATCCTACTTCCCATTCAGTGTCTGTGGCTATGCTGCTCCAGTCGTTGGTGCCGCTGGGACTGCTATATGTGATGTTAAGTTTGTCCCCTGCTCATGGAGCGGCTCCGGCCAAGCCGAACGCACGCAACACTGGCAACTGCCACTACGCCAATCACGCCGAGCTGGAGCTCCGTTGCACTGGCGTTGTGCGGTTCGATACATTTTTGCGGTGGCGGGACTTTCCGAGCGCCCGACGGTACGCCCTTTGGCATTTGGACGGATCATAAAGTTTACCTCGTATCGTTTTACAAATCGGACTTGTTTAAATATAACAAAATCAAGATGTCGGGCATGGGCACATTTTTGGCCACGAATAAGGAGGGCAAGACCATTGCACTGATCTTCCCCTATGGCACTGTGCACTGCTTCAAGTTCGGACTCCGCTACTTGAGCGACTTGCGGAGCACTTGCGACGGAGGGCGCTATAATCCGAATGATATAACCGACTTTCCGGTCATCCACTACGCCTACGACGCATACAAAAAGCAGTCGCTATTGTCAACAGCACGGATTCGTCCCGCAGAGCTGATGATTGTGCTGCTGGCGATGCTTCAGCTATTGGGTATACTCTAAAATTGAATTGGCTGCCGGCCTCCGCCGTATTACCCCCTACTACACACACGCACGATTAAAGGCATACAGCGACAGCGTGTGTGCAGCGATTTTTCACTCAATTTGTTTGGCGTTTTTTTTTTTTTGTTTTGTATCGCTCGACCGAATTGGTGTCAGTGTCAGATAGTCAGTGTCCAACAGATATGTCATGGGACATCTTCTGGTGTGTCTGCTCCTCGTGCTTGCTGGCATTCATGTGTGCTGTCCGGCAGTCGAGCGCGGGCTTTGCCCAGTGCGAGTCCCTGCTCGAGTACGGGCATATTCCCTTCAAGCTGTCGTGCGAGGCGAGGTACAGCAAGAGGCTGAAGCTTTACTATCGCGACAAGAGGATCAAAGCGGACACGCCCTTTCGCGTGTGGATCAGACGCGATGCCCGAGAACGTGTCGACCTACTGATCACACTCCACAAGTCGCCGCTGTGGAATTGCGGCAGCGTTAGCTGCACCCTCAACTGGCTGCACTGCCAGCACGCGCACGCCTCTGGCATTTTCATCGAGCCCGACAATCTCTTCTGCTACAAATTCAACTTCTCGTATGTGGCAGAGCTGCAGAAGGAGTGTGGCATGGAGCCGCTTAGGCTTGATTTTGTGGCCATTCACTATGGGGTGAGTTATCGGGACGAGAGGCGGATCTCGTCATGCGCGTCTGGTCGTCTCAAATGGGCCTTGTGGAGTGCCTGGAGCTGGTGCTGGAGCTAGAGCTTGGAGCCTGGGTGCTGGATTCGGATTCGGATTCACTTACTTTGCTTTTCGTGTTTCTAGTGTCAGAAAAAATTCTCCGAAAATGATCATCGCATCATTTTGCCAATAGGCAATGCCAGTGCGCTCACAATGCGCACAAAGATTGTATTTAAAGTGGATAGATTGCTCGAGGTTGCACCTTCTGCTGGTGCTGCTGCTGGTGCTGCTTGTCGGCAGGCCGATAATACCACCCGTCCGAGCCGCCAACGAGAACTGCACCTTCATCGACGGCTACATACTGCAATATCTGTGCCAGGGCACATACAATCGAGACATGCGTCTGATGTACAAGGACCGCATCCCCGCCATGGACACGCTCTACACCATCTGGCAGCGTTCCGACACCATTGATCCCGTCTATTTGCTGATCGCCTTCTACGACTCGCCCATCTCCAGCTGCTTCACCCTCGTCATGGAGAAGGGCAAGTTCTACTGCGATGGACAGAATTACGTTTTGAACCTAATGGGCTCAGCGGAGGTGCACTGCCTCGACTTTCCCTTCGATTACGCCGAGATGCTCTACGAGAGTTGCATGAAGGCGGAGTATCCGCCAAATACGAACTCCATTTCCGTGGCCATAATCTATATGAAGAACAACATTGTCAAGACCATCGATTCGGTGCCAGATCTGCGGGCCTCTGCATTCCTTGTGCTTTTTTCGGTGTTGTATTGTTGCTGGACCACTACATTTTGGTACTTTTAGATGAATTAAATGGAATAGACACGCCAGCCCTAGCAGGTCCTCTCTTTTTGTGCGTGTCCCCAACCCCAACCTCTCCAGCTGCCTATTGATTGCAGGGCATTATTGTCTATCCCTGACGCTGCTTATTATGTTTGGATAAACAAAATGTTGGCTCGCAGTTTGCCAGCAGAGTTCATTGTAGTTTCGGCCTGAAACTTTAGACATGCCAACACAATGGCAGACAAATGCAGTTCTGGACAGCAACACACATCTAAATCTACTGCCAGACACACACACACACACACACCACGCAGAGTGGGGGGAGAAGGCGTCGCATTTCATTGTCATCATTGTCATTGTCATTGGCGTTGGCGTTGGCGTTGGCGTAATTTATGTTCTCATATGGACTGGTGGCTCAGCCGCCTTATTGGCCTGTGGTCAACCCCACAACATTCAACCTCGAACATTGACTGCTGTCAAGTGTGTGCTGCCATCGGCCCAGCAGTGGACAGGGGCAAGGCTTTAAGTGGGCAATATTAAAGAGAGTTTCCCAGAAGTGATCTACATGTATTCTTAGTTATACACAGCCAGCTACAGATACAGATGCGAATTGGGTCAAGTGGTCTTCACTTGGGCAACAGTTTGATAAGGTGACGGCACAGCTCTTGGTTTTGTCTGCCATACGAGAGGGGCAGGGAGGGGCCACAGGATGTTGCCATCGGCATCGTTCCGCCCGGGAGCAGGTCTCCGTCTTGTTCCCTGTCCAATTGCCTCACTATATGCACAAGCAAGAACATGGAACAGAAAGGCATTTTTAGGCAACTTAAATTTCGAACTTTATGTGTAGGGATGACAAGCAAATCAATTCAGGAGTCGATCCAGTGTCAGGCAGAGCAGCAACGCCAGGAGGCAGCCAGTTGCACGATGGGCAGCCGCACCCGAATGCAGGCCCAGGCCGAACTCCAGCTCGTTCTGATTACTCCAGTGCGATATGGCAGCATAGTGCACGGCTGTCCAGCCGTCTGTAGTGGGAAAGTTGTTGATTCTCGGGCTGGTGCATTCGTGCAGCAGATCGTCTATGTAGCTCATCTGGTATATTTGGCAGTAGATCAGCGAGCCGGGCAGCTGCAGAGGGCTGCGGCTGCCTCCGCAGTAGATGTCCAGTCTTTCGTCCATCAAAATTGAGCTGTTGCACCACTGCAGCGGCGAGTCGTTGAAGGTTACCAGCAGGAAGTAGCCATCTCCCTGGTTGTGGTAAAATATCTTGTATTGGCCATTTATGGCGGCCAATCTGTCCTGGTAGCGCAGAAACAGATCGGTGGTGTAGGTGCCCTTGCAGAGCAGCTTCATGGGTGTGTTCTGGAACGGCAGGCAGCTGGTGTCGTGGGGAATCACCTCAAGGCCATCCGATGTTCGCGAGCACAGGCCCAGGATCACGAGAAATATTCCAAAAAATCCCGTTAGCAGCATTCTTAAACTTTTAACTATACTTTCTCGTGAATTTGAAAATATTTACAAAGCATCTATTCCACGTTCGAATGGGTGGGGGGGGGGGGGGTGCTGTGTAAAGTGTGAATCGGAATTGACAGCCAAATTCTGAATGCTTATCGAAACATTCACACTCAAATGCCGATGAACATTGGGGCATACTCCTCTGTGGGATACCTGGCCAACTGCTCCTACACGGCTCTGGATTATCATCATTAGTTGGGGCAGGCTGAGCGCGAACAAAGCCCCCCTTCTCTTACGCTCATGTCCTGATTTTTACGCATGGCTGATAATGCAGGGAGGGGGCAAACAGGGACCCAGAAAGGACACACACACAAAGCAAAGTGCGCATTTGCGTGCGACTTTTTGTGGCATCGTTTATTGGGGCCCCCCCAAAAAAAAAAAAAAAAATTTTAAAGAGAAAAAAAAAAAGGGGGGGGGAAGAGCGGGGGGGGGGGGGGGGGGGGGGGGGTTGGGTGGTTTGTGTGTTTTTCGAGAAGGGCCCCCAAATCAAAAAATTTAAAGAGCTAGGGCAACCAAAGCCGGGGGGGCTTTTTTATTTTTATTATTTGGCTGAAGCAGCCAGCAGCAGCCTTTCACTTTTCAGAGCGCACACATAAATGCGCTGCTGAGCTGAAATAAAATATATACTCGTGGAAATGGGCACAAGTGTGCGCTAAATGTGCCCAGCAAGGACGCGCTCTGTATGGGCCACACACAGCAAGAAGGGCCCCGCATTGGGGCATAGAAAGCCAAACTAGGAAATGACATTTAGGCAGCTTGAAAGAGCCATCAGCTCAACAGCTCAACAGCCCAACAGAATGGATACACGGAATACTGTGTAGCCCGGCAATATCTAAGCGTCACATTTGCATGTTCTGGTCTTTTATTTCCCAACGAGAATCCCATATCCCCCCATAGATGGAGTCTATCTTTGATGTTTAACTTGAAAAAAGCAAATCTGTCAAAGCAAAAAACAGATGCATTTGATTCGTTTCCACAGCGAAATGGAAGAACTCAATGAGGTTTTTTTTTTTGCTTTAATTTGATTAAACTTTGATTGAATTAAAATTCATAAAATGGGAACGCTCCTCCCCATAACGGACGTAAATTTAGTTTTGCCCTGCACTGCTCTCTCTCTCTCTCTTTCAGTGCTGTCGCGTGTCCCTTGTCGACGCTTTTGGAGCAATTAAAATTTCTCTGTGCTCTTCTGTGTGCCATTTTTGTTATTGCTGTGTGGCTCTGAATGCATTTTTCAGCACTGAATGTTTTTCTCTTCTTCGCCTTTTGCTGCTTTTATTTTCGCTGTAGTTTTTCCTTCTTTTTTTTTTACGTTTTTTGTTCGCTTTTGCTTGTAAAATAAAAATTACGTATACGCCAACAACTTCAAATGGCGCAACATGGCGTATGCGTGATGTCGTTTTTGCTGTTGCTGTTGCTGCTGTTGCTGCCATATTTCGCTGCACACCGGCTGCCATTTCCGCACCAAACAAAAGCAAACAGACCGAATGGCAGATACAACAAATGCCTTCCCCCCCTCCACCAACACCCTTGCCACTTGCCACTGACCGACGCCACCCCCCGCGCTCCTGCTGCCCTTACTCTTGAAAGGGCCGCCGCACATACGAGTATCTATAAAATACGCAATTACAACATGTTGCCGCAGTCGCCGTTGCCGTTGCCGTTGCCATTGCCGTTGCCGTTGCCCTTTCTGCTCTCGCTTGCTGTGGCTCGCTTTATGAATTTATACATAACCCGCCGCAGCTGCAACCAGCCCCCAGCCACCCACCACCCACCACTCACCATATTCCCCGTTGAGCGCACACGCTTTGTTGCATCCACTCAGCAGTTGCCATTAGCGGAATGGAGAGTGCTGCGACTGCGACTGCCGCCCAGAGTGTGCCACGGAAGCAGATATCTTTGATATGGTAATGTCTAGATGCTCTAAAAAGCGATGCGGAATAGATCAGCGCTCGCTATCCATTCCCCACCCCCGAATCGAAACCAATTCAAGCCGAGATCTGCTCCCTAGAGAGATCTGCTCGCTGCTCTCGTTTCTCTCCCCATTTGAATGCCATATGCCTGGCACAGAGAAAGAGTAGAAGCAATTCCTGGCACAGCACCTGCAGAGCTACCTGCCTGCCTGCTCGTTAGGCATTGGTTTGTGCTGCCGCCGCTGCTGCTGTTGTGCAGCACCTCTAGGGCTCCTCTTTTTATTGTCACTCGTTTTGTTTTTGTGCAGTCAGCTCCAACGCATGGCAAGTGCCGCATGGGGCATGTGGTAGGTGAAGGTGGGGCACACGGCACACCAAGGCACTGCACTCATGAGTTATGCCCTGCGATATGCGCCAACTAAGTTAGTTTTGTATATTTTATGTGCAGTTAAGCGTTTTGCATTCCGCATTCCGCATTCCGCGTCCTGGAAACAGGTGTCGAGAGGGGGGGCTCTGCATAAAATATCTCTGCGTGGCGGCAAGGGCTCGAGCTTCTGCTTGGCAGCATGTGATTGTGAGTGCTTAATTGGTATCAAGTTGTTTGGCCCAGGGGCTGGGCGCGGTAGCCGCCCTCCAGTTGTTGGCAATAGTTGCATGCATGGCGGGGCGCTCAAGGATGGCGGCCAGGATATGTGAGGCCAGTGAATGGGCGGGTTCCGCGAATGCAAAACAAAAAATATGAAGCCTTCACCTCTTGATCAGGCCAATACTCGTATTTCGCGGCAAGAAATCAGCGAAAAGTCTGCGAACCAAATACGATTAATGAAAACAGTCGAGGGAATGAGAGCGGCAAACCGGGCAAGAGAAATATTAAATCTACTCGAGTGCCACATGCAGTGGCACCACCCCTGTGTCTGTGGCAGCGAGCGAAGCCGAGTAGTACATGAAGTAATTGGAGCAATAAAACCAGAAAACCGTGTGAATAAAAATAAAGAAAAGCTTCGACGATGCCGACGTGGAGGAGGAGCGTGGAGTGGCTGCTGGAGGATTCTGGGGCCAGGTACCTGCATCCTGCTGCATCCTGGCAGGTAGTAAAGTAACAGGAATCAAAATAATAAATCAAAATTGTATGTGTGTGTGTGTGGGGGGCTGGCTGTATGTTGCAACAGCAGCCAACAGTTGGCAGGCAGCATCGACTTCCTCCCGTGCCAAGTGTTGCAGCTACACGGCGTAGCACAGAGATGCGAGCGTGACTCACGATGTTGCCACACAACCTACGGGCAGCGTTAGCTTCGTGATCGAATCTCTGGTCCACGCGTCCATCTCCAGGTTGCTCCCATGCCTCGCTGGCTGCCTGCCTGACGCTTCCCCGCACAACTTTCAAGTTGTTAAAAATTGCAAATAAAATAAGCGGGCGGGTGGGGTGTCAGAAGAGGAGTGTGGTGCAGGCGGAGGAGTGCGCCACTGCCACAGCAGAATGTGGCATTTGATTTACGTTTGCAATTGCTCGAAGCTGTTAAATAGCGCCGCTCCACCTCCACTGGCAGCCCGGCATCGTAGGAGGATGCCTTGCTCTAGCTGCCACTCCCTCCGTCGCTGCTCGCGGTTCGCTCTGTTAATGATCAAGTGGCGTCCTGACTTGCTTGTGCCACGGCGTGGCAATGGGCGGCGACAGCGGCAGCTGCGGTGGCTGGCTGGCTGGCTGGCTGGCTGGCTGGCAGTTTAAAGTTGTCGGTTAGTTGCCACAGACCTTCCCCAAATGTACGAGCAGCTAATGGCGTGTGGAAATCAATGAGAGTCGACGCGGAATTTTATAATTTATGATGGCTGCAAAATTATGGGTTATTTTTTCAATGGAAATTAAGGGATTTTCATGTTCTGAAATTACACAAGAAAAAAAACGAACCATCTGATCCGAGAGCTTTGCACGTTTCACTTTCAATCTCTACCACTCTCTGTCTCTCTCTCTCTCTCTCTCTCTCTCTGTGTCTCTGTGTCCCTCTCGAAATATTTGTTAATAATTCCACAGGCATATCATTTTGATTAACCATGCGACGAGTGCATCGCAGCGAAGTCCCCTTGGGGCTTGGGTTTCAATGGCAGTCCTCGATGCCTCTCATGTTGCACGTACGACAGGTTCGGCCTTTGGCTTGTTGTCGGTTGTTGCATGTTTAATTACTCGCTCGCTGGCCCGCTCGGCTGCCAAAGTGGGTCAGGAGCAGGAGCAGAGCAGGGTGGCGGTGGTATGCCTGCACCTGCCGCAATCGTAATGCAGAGTGTTGCATAGTTGCATAGCGTGGCGTAGCGTGGCATTATGCCTGACAGGCCATAGCATTCGCAGCACTTAAAACGCCATAAAGTATGCAACAGAATGCTGACAAAGAGCGAACATCGCAACTGTCGCGCTCTTTTCCATAATAATTCAAATGAGATTTAAAGTCTTGCTCCTCCCCGCTCTGCATCACACACTCTGCCCCACACTCTCACACTCTATGGGCTGAGGGGCACACGGTGGCGGCGCCGCAATGTATGCAACGATTTATTTAAATAACAACCAACGTCTTTCTGTTGCTGCTGCTGCTGCAGCTGCAGTGCCTGTGCCGCAAAGTACTTCTCTGCTTCTGCTTCTGCTCCTCCTCCTGCATCGAGCACAAAGATAAGCAACACAATGCGCCATTTGGAGGATTTTCTTCGCCTGGCACCCAGAGATGCAGATGCAGAGGTAGAGAGGCAGCAAACAAATACCTGGCACAACAGCGCGACACTTGGAGGCGGTGGCAAAGGTGCTGCTCGAAGAATTCCCTTAATGATGTTGCCAAAACCGACACCGAAACCGAAACGATCCTCGTCGGGTTGCAGTTGAAGTGTGCTCAAGCGGGATTATGAAATGGTTAACAAAAAGGGAAAGGGGAAGCCAATGGGCAGAATCTCTGGTGCTATTCCATGTGAATAAATCCCAACTTTGTACCGAAACTATTTATATAAAGTCCACAACGAAATTGAAATCACATTCCCATTTGATGGCCACGTCATTATCCATTGGACCGCACCCATAAAGCGGGGCGGGGCGGGGAGGGGCGCGCAACAGAGCCATAAAACAACATTTCA